CCCATTTTACAGGTGGGGAAACTGAGACTTGGTGAACTTCAGTGATTTGTCCAAGGTCATACAGCTGGTAAAATGAGTGATCAAGTCATGGAGGAATGTCCAATGAAGCACACATAAAGCTCTGGAAGGAGTGATCTCAGAGATCACCTAGATCTTAGGTCAGGAAATAAGTCTTGGTCATCTCTGGGTCCCCAGAACCTGGCACTGAGTAGGTAGGTACTCAGGGAGCCCTAACTTTGGGGCCAGGACCAGCTACATTATTTGTGGGGCCCAGTTCAAAGTGAAAATGCAGAATAGGGCCCCTCTTTCAAAAATTATCAAGAATTTCTAGACTGTAACAGCAGAGCGTTAAACCAAAGTCAGGACCCTGTAAGCGCAGAGCCCTGTGTGACTGCACAGGTCTCATGCTGCCCATGAACCTGACCCTGCCTGGGGTTCAGGATGAAGCCTCCCCCAACTCACCATCGATATCAGCACTCCTCAGGGCATCCTCCACCTGGGCTGGCGTCAGGGACATGCCCACGAGGAGCAGGATGTTCTCCAGGCTCCGTGTATCCACCTCACCATGACCACTGAAGATCTCAAAGTAGCTGCGGAAGGCTGGGGTGGGCAGTGGGGTTATGTTTCCACCATTCATCCCATCTGCTCCAACCACCCCCTGTCCAGCCTTCTTTATCACCATGGCAGGGTAGAGGGACAAACTTAACGAAGAGTGAAAGTGGAGGTGTATGGGCCCATTGGCTCACTTCACTCTCTAGTACAAGGTCAGACCAAGGGCTCAGCTGGTGTGGCAAAAGCTCAGCTAGTTAGCCGCCTTCACCTTGCACCAGAACATGCCCACTTTAGGGTCCCCCTGCTATGTGCCAGGCACTGTGTTAAGCTCTTTATAGCCATGTTCTCATTTAATTCTTACAACAGCCTGGTAAGAGTAGAATGCTTATTCCCTTCTAAAGATGGGGAAACTGAGGCTCAGAGGTTAGAGGACCAGATAGATCTTTCTGACTCTGATTCTGTGCCTTGGCCATGGGGCTCTGCAGTTACTTATCTGGATAGACATAGCCTCTAAGACAGCTTCGTTTGTCTGGACCGGAGCAGAGGACCAGGAAAAATGCTGAGAAAGTCCCAGAACAGCACCACTTGATAGAAAAGTCGTGTCCTGGTCATAACATGTGTGGTGTCTGGTTTCACAGACCACAGCAAAATCCAGGTTAGAATCAACAGACCTAGTGATGAGACTGGCTCTGCCATTTACTAAGAAGCTGGGTTGCTGTTACGAGCTAAACTGTGCCTGCCGCCTAAACTCATCTGTTGAAACCCTAATACCACCCCACCCCCATACCTTAGAATGTGATGATGTTTGGAGATAGGGCCTTTAAAGAGGTGATTAAGTTAAAATGAGGCCACTGGGGTGGCCCCTAGTCCAACCTAACTGGTGTCATGAAGAGAAGAGGAAACTTGGGCACACAAGAGACACCAGGGATGCGTGTGCACAGAGGAAAGACCATGTGAGGATACAGGGAGAAGGCAGACGTCTGCAAGCCAAGGAGAGAGGCCTCAGAAGAAACCAAACATACCAACACCCTGATCTTGGACTTCTAGCCTCCAGAACTATGAGAAAATAATTTTTTTTTTTTTTTTTTTTGCGGTACGCAGGCCTCTCACTGTTGTGGCCTCTCCCTTTGCGGAGCACAGGCTCCGGACGCGCAGGCTCAGCGGCCATGGCTCACGGGCCCAGCCTTTCTGTGGCATGTGGGATCTTCCCGGACCGGGGCACGAACCCGCGTCCCCTGCATCGGCAGGCGGACTCTCAACCACTGCACCACCAGGGAAGCCCCTGAGAAAATACATTTTAAGCCACTCAGTTTTCGGTACTTCATTATGGCAGCCTGAGCAAAGCTAATATAGTTGCCATGGGCAAGTCACTGTGCTTCTCTGAGCCTCAATTTTCTTATCTGTAAGATGGACAGAACAACAGTACACCCTCCCCGAGAGGTTGTATTAATTCATTGCTTGGCACATTGTAGACTCAGTAAGTCTCTGATGAACCAGAACTGAAATGTGGGGAAGAGGTAGGGCTGGGATTAGGGTTGGACTAAGTGATGAGCTGCCACAGGCAGGCACGCTGAAAAAGGAAAACTGAACAGCTCTCAAAAGTGGTAAGATCGGGCTTCCCTGGTGGCGCAGTGGTTGAGAGTCCGCCTGCCGATGCAGGGGATACGGGTTCGTGCCCCGGTCTGGGAGGATCCCACATGCTGTGGAGCGGCTGGGCCCGTGAGCCATGGCCGTTGAGCCTGCTCGTCTGGAGCCTGTGCTCCACAATGGGAGAGGCCACAACAGTGAGAGGCCCACATACGGCAAAAAAAAAAAAAAAAAAAGTGGTAAGATCATCCCAAATGCAGGGTGGTTTGGACCATCAGAGCAGGTAGCCAGCTCTTTCCTCACCAGACAGGGCTGAGCCTTGGGGAGAATGCTGAGTCTCTAAGCCAAATTGGCACATTGTCCATGAACTCAGCTCAAGAAGATGGGGCAGTGGGCGCTGGACCTAGAAAAGTCCCTCTAAAAATGACTAGAGACTTTTAATGCTAAAAGGAGTGAACTTCAGAGATGGGGTCCTAGGCAGCCAGAGAGTGCATTCAGGGAAGGCAGAAGAAGGGGCCGCTCTGGCCCTGCCTGGGGCCCAGACTT